TAGGATTTTAAATTCAATTCTGGATTTTACAGGGAGCCAGTGCAGAGAAGCTAAAACAGGAGAAATATGATCTCGTTTCTTAGTTCCTGTTAGTACACGTGCTGCTGCATTCTGAATTAGCTGGAGAGTTTTTAAGGACTTACTAGAGCTACCTGATAATAGAGAGTTACAGTAATCCAGTCTAGAGGTCTAGAGCGCTAAACCACTGACTGAACCATGGCTGAATGACACCACCCGCACGTCGATCGTCTTCAGATCTCTCTAGATATTTTAAGAAATAGTTTATCTGAATATCAGAGAGCTGTTAAAGCTGCAAAAACTAATTTCTTCTCAAACCTTGTGTCAAATAACAGCCATAAACCTCAGTTTCTTTTTAATACTCTTAATTTGCTTTTAAATATCTGTAATTCTACCTCCATCGTATCTTCTCCTGCACTATGTGAAAAATTTCTTAAATTTTTCAATGACAAGATTTCTGCCATCAGGTCCATTCAATGATATTCTGAAAGCTAATGAAGAAATGAAGGAGAAGCTCTCTAAAGAGATTAAAGAAATGAAGATCAAAAAATTCAACAGAGACAAGCAAGATGCACGTGAGGGCAACATCTACCACTGGAGGAATCCTGAACGCAGCCCCAAGAGACGACCTGCTGGACATCAACAAACTGATCAGTTCTCCTCAGACCAGCTCTCATCAGCTTCAAGTTCCAGTTTTTTATCCAACCGAGCCAGAGAACAGCCAGGCATGTCAGTCAGAAGAAAGGGCCAAGGCAGAGAAAAGGCCGTACACGACGTGGAAAGAAGAGAAAAACCATGGACCCGCTCCTGGGCCCATCAATGGAAGAAGTGACTGTTTAATCTATCTAGTAAGTCTTTAAATGAATCTCATCTCTCTGTGTTAAACAAAGGACTCTCATTTGTGCCTACTAATCATGTCAAAGATTTTGATATCAAGGTAGATCTATTTAAGTTTTTCAGAAATATATGACTAAAAGAGTTTTTCAAACAAAATAGATCCACCTCTGAACAACTAGAAAATGAATGTTCTCAACCTCCTAGTTCTATATTACCTAATGAAAATAAGAATACATGCTTTAGAGGCAAAAGTATGTTTGTACCTCCCTTTAACCGTAGTAACTCCATTGAGACATATTGTAGACTAGTAGAGCAAGATGTTGACAAACTTTTAAAGAATAAACAACATCATAGATCTAATAAAAATCTAACTAAACAAGAGATGGCTGCCCTTAAGGACTTAGAGTCAGACGAATCCATTATTATTAAACAAGCAGATAAAGGGGGAGCTACAGTGGTCATGAATAAAGTTGACAATATTAATGAGTGTCTGTGACAACTTTCAGATGAGACTTTTTATAATGGACTTCTAGGGGATCCCACCCAGTCCTTTAAGAATATTGTCCATGAAACCCTTGAAAATTTATTTCAGAATGGTAAAATCTCCAAAAAAGAATATGAGTTTCTAAAGTTGAACACTCTATTACTCCTACTTTTTATACACTACCAAAAATACATAAAAGTCTAGAACATCCACCTGGCCGACCTTTGCCAGTATTGGCTCCCTTACCTCTAATCTGTCTAATTTTGTAGATAACTTTATCACACCGTTAGCTGAGAACCTTCCTTCCTTTACAAAGGACACAGGACACATAGTAAACATAATAGAATCCATGGAACCGCTCTCAGAAGAGGAAGAGCTGTATTTGGTGTCTTTTGATGTAAATGCCATGTACATATCCATACCACATGAGAGAAGTATTGAGGCCCTGGAGTACTTCCTTTCAAAACACAATTTTATAGGAAGTCCCTCAAAAGAAAGTCTCTTAGAGTTGTCTAATTTAATTTTAAAACACAACTACTGGATGTTCCAAAACACCTTCTATACACAAAAACATGGAGTCCCCATGGGTAGTTCTTTTTCACCCTCATTCTCTAACTTGTATATGGGTTTGTTTGAAGAGAAATTTATTTACTCTAATCCTCCTTACTCTAATGACTTCAAGGACAATATATTCTTATGGAAGAGGTATTTGGATGATATATTTTGTCTGTTTAAAGGGCCTAAGACCCAGTTAGAGTATTTCTTTACATGCCTCAACTCATGTTATGAATTTTTGTCATTTACTATGGATCATGACAAAAATCGCATCAGTTTTCTAGATCTGTGGATTATTAGAGAAAAAAATCACTTATATACAGATCTGTTTAGAAAATCTACCGCTAGAAATACCTTACTAAGAGCAGACTCTAATCACCCTTTACCATTAAAAA